ATTAGGCTACGAATTATTTTGATCGTGAAAGACAAGGCCTGATCAGACTTGATTGATATACATAACATTTCTGTAACCGATTAATATACTTGCAATTGGTCGAAACGTGTAATTATTAATATATGAACGTAAATTAATGCTTTCATTTTTTGTGACCACCACATCATTTTCTACAAAAGCTATTAAAATTTTCTACAAAAGCTATTAAAATAACTAAATTTTTTTGTGTCTATATAATATATACACACATATCGACCCATATTTATACCTGTTTTCACTTAAGATGCAATGCTAACTAGACATCTCAGGTAATAGGACCTCCAGGAGCGTAAATTTTGCAAAATTTCTGATTAATCTGATATAAAACAACTTAAGATCCATTTGAAACAGTAATATGGAACGACATTTTTCAGAGAAAAAGGTTGGTTTAGTCATTCAAATTGTGAAATTATGAAAATAAAATCATGTTTGTTTACATTTTTATATCATTGAAATGTCGATTCCGAAATTTGTCATTATAACTCATTAAATTTAGATTTTTTATTGACCTTACATGTGTCTTCTCGATAAGATTTCCTTCGCGATCCTATACCAGATCTTTCACGATCTTTTTTCTCGATATACCGAATGACAGCCGTGTACTTGATCTAGAATCAAGTAAGACCGATTTCTACTTCGATAGAATTGTTCGTCAATTACGTATCGAGTTTTTTTTTTAATAAAAAAGGGGTAGATGGTAGGTTTAGGAAACATACATTTTATTCACATTGTATCATTACAATCCTTAATAGAAAAAAAACCTAAATCAAAAGATTGTTTCTTCATCTTCGTTTTCTGCATTTGATATATTTTATGAGTTTACACTAATAAAAAAAATGTCTGATTGGTGGTAAATGCGAATTTCCAAACGTCTGGTATAACTATACCTTATGTCACCTTACAATGTATATGTTATATCTGCCCATAGTATCATTTGGTGAGGACAGCTGTTCATTCCCTTCTTCCTCTATATGAGTTGGATTTCTACCGTTTACTGGTGGTCCCTATATTCTACGTTATAATCGTACATGAGTTGGTGGTTTCAAAAATTTATGTTATATGTTCTATAAAACAGATGAATAGTCCTGGAAATTACTATGTGATCTGGTAAACTATCCAATAGTTGTACTTCTCTTTTTGTGAAGCTGTATTTTAGTATGTCTCTCTGGCTACGGTGTTGCTTTTAAATTTGTAAGTGTTTCTCTTAATTTTTTATTGTAATGTTGCTACTCAGCTGCAATATATCGATAGTGACTCTATTGTCATATATACCTGTTATTATCTTGAAGGTTTCAGTCAAATCTCATCTTGTGTCTCGATATTTCAATTACGACAACTTAAATTTTTGCATTTTTTTTTTATCATAATTCATGTTCTATATCTGATGTAGCATTCTGGTAGTTATCCTTTGTTCATTTTATATTGATTCTTTCTTCTTATGATGTGACCTACACTACACATGTAAGCTAAATACCGGCGGTCTACTCAAGTGTTTTAAATAATCAAACTCCTAACAAGTTTCACGCAGTCTCATTATAAAATAATTCAAGGATCGATTGTATTTGTGTGAAGCTAGTATAAGTATAGGAGAGTTTTGTTTCTGATTTATATCTCAGGCAAGAAAATTGGAGTGTTGTTTCTGATTTGTATCTCAGGTGTGATAATAGGAGTGTTGTTTCTGACTTATATCTCAGTATTGATAATAGTTCTGTTTCAGACTGATATCTCTGGCGTGATAATAGGAGTGTTGTTTCGGATTTATATTTCAGGCGTGATAATAGGAGTGTTATTTCTGATTGATATCTTAAAGGCGTGATAATAGTTTTGTTACTGATTTATATCCCAGGAGTGATAATAGGAGTGCTGTTTCTGATTGATATGTTATGCTTGATAGGAGTGTTGTTTATGTCACCAGTCATGATGCTTATTTGGAAGGTCATATAATTTACCTCAATTTAGGATAGACTCTTGAATTTTGAAGTGACGAAATAGGATGAACGGATTATATAAACCCGAAGGCAAATATAATACAAGCCCAAACGAAAAAAATATAAACAAGTCTAAATTGAAAACAACGTTCAAACCTATGATTGCGTTGGATAAAAACCGCAATTTTTATACGTGTGCATGCAAAACAAATTTCTTGGTAGAGGGGTCTAAATACAGCACAAACAACATTTTCCAAAAGACCAAAAAAGTGAAAAAGTATATTTTAACAAAACGCATTTGACTAGCAGGTCATATATATGTAAGTTGGGACATTTCTGAAATCTTTCAATACCAAGGGAGACACACTAATTCAGAAACAAAAGTTCTTCTGGTGATTAGACGATTTTTAATACTATCGACCTCTCTTAAATACTGAAGATTTCAATTAGACGTACTGCAAGATTGTATGAAACCTTTTAGATTAGGAGTGTTGTTTTTTCAGTTTTTTTTCGTTTTTTTTTTGTAATCTTAAGATGCATTACCCAACAAACATGTTTTCCGTATAGTAGACAGTGTTATAAAGACATCTAGAGTGCAACAATAGATAGGTGTCTATTCAATATGGCAAGATCTAAATCGTCCCGAGTCTATTAAAGTTGTGAATACATTAAACAGAAACAATCAAAGATCTGCCTTTAACACCCAATTCTCCAAATACTATAAGTACGACGAACATCTAAATACGATATCTACAAACATTAAGATAGATATAAGACAACTGCATTGAAAAGGTTCCTGACTTTGGATATGCACATGAAAATATGGCGGGTTTAAAATAGTTTTTGAGATCTCAAACATCTAAAATCATCTGTATTTGGTTGGTTAAAATTAGATCTAGTATGTGGGATATATTTGTCCCTTTCCATCTTGTTGGTTTAGTTATTCTAGAATAAAAAATTTGTTGCAGGTATTCTATATATGTATTTATATTTTCCTTAATTTTTCATCGTTACATTTCGATTCTATAACCTTTTCAAGTTTGGAGATTTTTTTCTTCATAGTTTCCATTATCTCTTTACATATGCTTTCTATATCAATGTCAGTAATTGCGAGTTGTTCCATATTTTTTTCCATTTCAGGTAAACCCACATAGCATCTGACTTACAAAGTATTTAGTACTCTATTTTTGCTTTCTTTAAGCATACTGTGCAGAAATGTACCTTGCATATCTAGCACTCCATAAATTAAGCATCAGGCTTCTTAAAGACTTATTCAAATTTAGCACATGTCCATACCATCTTCCTCTTGATTGTTTTTTGTTGGCAGGTTTGCAGTGCTATTTTTCCCGGATCCCATTTCAATATGTTAATTATTTATAGTTGACTGAATGCTTCTTTATTCCAAATCTATATGATACTTCTTTTAAGGACAGTGCTTCCATATCCTTAAGCCATAGTCTGCACGAATCTCAAATTTGAGACGAGCCTCCCTATCTCACTAAAGTCGGATTTGCATGAAGCTCGAGGTTTTCAAGCGTAAAAAGTGGCTTACAATTTGAGTCAGTTTACTAGACTTATCTCACTAAAACTGACTATTTCAAACTTAGTTTTATTTGTTTTTATATACAGACAAGGCTTCCCTGTCTCGTCTACTACAAATCGTTACTTATTATAATAGCAGGTATTTCCTATTACTGTCGTTACTGTTATAGATACTTGGGGACAGGATAATATTTTTTTGGCCTCCCCTTTTTTCTTAAATCCGTAATTTTTTTTTATTAGTATAGTATAGCATAGTATAGTATAGTTACATTCAGGCAAAATCAAACACATATACAAAAATTCACAACACAAGACAATAATATATACTTTTAAAATAGTATCATAATATACTTTAAAAACAGTGCTTAGAAAAAAGCCTAGGATATCCCATAAAAGCTTACATAGTATAGCTTATTTCCAGTGGGGTCCCTTGTTTAAAAATATATAAAAATAATATTTCAATTTATTGTTAAAATTTGACTTTTCCAAAAAAAAAAAAGAAAGAAAAAAAATCAAATGTTTCTTGAAAAACATATAAAAAATCTCCAGTTTCTATATTGCTTGTTGTTATTTTTAATTGTTCTTTAACTGCAGTCTTAACAGCAGATCTATTTGATATATTTTTTATATTGGATGGTAGATTGTTCCAGTCTTGTATGGCAACTACATATACACAAAGCTGTTTTTATTAGTTTTAAATATTTGGTACAAAATAATTATTATGTGCAGCACTTCTGGTATTATGATTATTTAAATATCACATATAATTATACTCCTTGGGCCAAGACCAAGGACGAATATCACCACCTTACTCTGTACAACTTGCAATTTTGTTGTCATCCCTTTGCCGAGACTGCTATACTGACCACGAAGAGCAAGACTAATCGAAATAGCATTGTATCAGAGGTGATGTGGGAGTCATCCTTGATCTAGTATCCAAACATTTTGCATTTCTATATAAAAATCTTAATCTTGCATTAACTTTTTTTATAATATTGGAAACTGTTTGTTCACAATTTAATTGTTTTGATAAGGTGATCATTACATTTGACCTGAAAATTAATATTTTGCCTAATCTTTTTTGGAGATCCAAAAAGCATACATTCAGTTTTTCCTATGTGTAATGACAGGTTATTATCTACTAACCAGTCTGAACATTTTTCTAGAACTTTTCCCAATTTTGTAGAAAAAATATCTCAGGATTTTTATGAGTACTTGATATCGGATAAAATAGCGCTATCATCTTTTTCTTTTAATTTCAATTATTTTCACGTTTTTCTATGTTTAATAGGTTAACATGAATATGCTAGAAATAACATTTATTTACTTTTCATTTCTAGTTTAGTATGGATATATTCGAATCGCAGTGACCGGTGTGGATAGTAAAAATATTTTTTGATACGGGTGCATCGGACATAATTTTTCACCTTCAGGTTTTCCCGCGACGAATAGATTTTTAATGGCCTTCTTCGATTGGCTAATAGTGTCACATGAATATTTCCTCGCCATTTTAATAACATTTACAGAGCAGACAGCAGAGATTTTTATATTTTAAGCTTTTTAAATGACTTTAAATGGATGAAACTCGACCTACCAACAGGTACAAATTCCAGAAAACTTTCTGAATGGAAGTTGCTGCTCAAACATACGCAATGTCAACCAAGATCTCATCCTCTCAATATTTATGTCCATTGTTATTGTTTTGACAATTATACAGAATTGTAAATTAGTAAATGAATATTCTTAATTATAAGGTGACAGGTTGATATCTGCTTGAGTCAGATTATGGCCTCAATCTGCAAGCTGAGTATTCTGTCTTTAGTTGAACACTCGAACACTGGTATTTATAATACAATAGTGCAATAAGTCATACATGTACAGGAGCAGCTATCAATACCAGTCAGTGCTACCGATATATACTATGAAAAGTTCTCAATATTTGTCTTACTAAAAGACTACTTTCACATTCATGCCTGATCCTGATCCTAAGGTCAAAGTTGACACAACCTGTCTCTACTGATAGTACTGTTTTTCCTCTTGTGCTACACCGTTGCACATGCTAATTACTTGGGGTACTTTCGAATATTTGTTTAGGTGCAGGATCAGGATTCAGGGCTTGCTAGTTCTTGAAATCGTCCTGATCTTGCTATATATTCTCCTACAATTTGAGCTATTGCTTCGTATGCTTCTTTCTTTGGTGATGACGATAATGATTGTATGTCTTTCCAGATTTTCAGCATTTACATCTTTCTTAGCATGTCTTCTCTTTCATGATGGTGTCTTGGGCTGTATAGTAAAAAACAATTCTGTTGTTTCTTCTTCGCCACATTCACAATATGGCATAAGGGAATGACCTATTAGTTTCTGTATTTATTTAATCTGCTGTAACCTGTTCTCAATTCTGACAAAATTCTTCCTAGTTAGGGGTTTGGTGTGTCCAGTTGTACATCCCTCCCAACAATAGGTACTAGATTTAAAAGTTGTCTCCTACTTTCACTAATTGTCCATCTACTTTGCCATTTGAACTTTGTAGACATCTTGACTGCACTTCTTACATCTGACATTGTTGTCATTAAATTGGTCGTGTAGTGATTAGGCCTCTTTTGCAGCATCTTTTGCCAACTGGTCCGCTATCCTGTTTCTGGCTATATTAGCATGGCCTGACATTCAAGATAGGGTTGGTAGTATGCTGTGTCTCGAGTGCAGTTCCCATATGTGTCAGAAGTCACAACACTTATGATGTATAACTGGAGATATAAAGCCTTTTATTAAAGGTAATCTTACTGGTTGAGTTGGGGAAGATCTTCTTTGGTTCAGTCAGTTATAGCACTGCCTTTAGATCCCGAGATTGGTTTGAATCTTGCTGGTACCATCTTGATTTTCACAATACAACACTTATAAATAATAGACCTTTGATCATGTTGATATCGCTATTTGGGAATCTGCGACACTTTGAACTTCATACAACAATCGTTTTTCCTTTGTGGCGTCAAAATTTTATAGGAACCTTCGTAACTAAGGCCAGTAAGGGTGGACAAAAAGCAATAAGGTGTAGATTGCGTCACAGTAAGAGCTGATTGTTACTGTTTTCGCCAAATTAGTAATTCATTCATGTAAAAGAACTCTAGATTGGTGTATTAACAATAGGCTCCAATCATCATTAGTGTTCCTTGTAGCTTTTGAAAATGGCAGCACTTCCCCTAGGAAATCTTCATTTCCATCCCCTACAAGGTAATATATATAGTTGCAGGCAAAAAAAAAGAGGGAATCAAAAGAAAGAAAACAATGGTGTGGGGCAGGTTCATTTATAAACCCAACATGAAACAATACACCATTTCGTGTCTATGATTGAATTTGTAAAAAAAAATATACCTTGTCCTCATACCAGTTCCAATTTTCTAAATAACAAAGGCCATATACCCATGAAAAAAATATATCCCGTTGGATTTGAGAGATTGGGATTAAAAAAAACCCTGAAAACTGAGACAGTTTAAAGTCACTGAATCATAAAACTCTATTTCCACACGTTTACACAATATTTATGACAGCTTGAAGTCTGCAAAAGAGCCAAAGTTGAGCTCAAGTATTTCACTAGAGCATATATTTTAATCTCTGCCTTCTAAAACATAAATATCAAAATTATTTGCTGAAAATTTTTTGAATTCTCCATTTTTGGATAGGAGAATTAAACTTAATTATAATAAGATGATGGAAATTACTCTATTCAGTGTCATATAAAAATCTTGGAAACTTTATTTAGATATAAACATTTACAGGGTTTATAAAAAGCATCGGTACCCTGTTTCAAATTAAGGAAATCGCCGTTTCAAATTGTGTTTCCAAATGGGAAAAAAATAAATTATTCTGCATTCGTTGTGTAAAACAAGTTGTTATCTATTGAATTGACCTTACTAAAAAAAAGCTAAACAAAAGATATCATAGATATTATTCCTACATTTTCCTATGAAACCTCATTTTTTTTTGGAGCCTGCGACTTTTGTTGCAGAAAGCTCGACATAGGGATAGTGATCCGGCGGCAGCGTTAGCTAACTTCTTAAAAGCTTTATATTTTAGAAGCTAGAAGACCTGGATGCTTCATACTTTGTATATAGATGCCTTATGTTACGAAATTTACGTCTGTCAAATGTCCATTGTCCTTGGCCTCATTTTCATGGTTCAGTGACTACTTGAAAAAAAAAGTCAACATTTTTTGTAATGTTAATTTCTTTCTTATTATGAGTAATAGGATAACTATATTTAGTATGTGCGTACCTTGCAAGGTCCTCATGCCCGTCAGACAATTTTCATTTGACCTCGACCTCATTTCATGGATCAGTGAACAAGGTTAAGTTTTCGTGGTCAAGTCCATATATCAGATACTATAAGCAGTAGGTCTACTATATTTGGTATATGGAATGATTGTAAGGTGTACATGTCCAACTGGTAGGTGTCATCTGACCTTGACCTCATTTTCATGGTTCAGTGGTCAAAGTTAAGTTTTTGAGTTTTGGACTTTTTGTCGAGCCTTCGACTTTTGTCGAAAAAGCGAGACATAGTGATCCTACATTCTGTCGGCGGCGTCCACAAATATTCACTCTGTGGTTAAAGTTTTTGAAATTTTAATAACTTTCTTAAACTATCCTGGATTTCTACCAAACTTGGACAGAAGCTTGTTTATGATCATAAGATAATATTCAAAAGTAAATTTTGTAAAAAAAAAATTCCATTTTTTCAGTATTTTACTTATAATTAGACTTAGGTAGTTTTTCTGCCAGGAAACATTACATTCACTCTGTGGTTAAAGTTTTTGAAATTTTAATAACTTTCTTAAACTATCCTGGATTTCTACCAAACTTGGACAGAAGCTTGTTTATGATCATAAGGTAATATTAAAAAGTAAATTTTGTTAAAAAAAAATTCCATTTTTTCTGTATTTTACTTATAAATCGACTTAGTTTTTCTGCCAGGAAACATTACATTCACTCTGTGGTTAAAGTTTTTGAAATTTTAATAACTTTCTTAAACTATCCTGGATTTCTACCAAACTTGGAAAGAAGCTTGTTTATGATCATAAGATAGTATCAACAAGTAAATTTTGTAAAAAAAAAATCCATTTTTTTCCGTATTTTACTTATAAATGGACTTAGTTTTTCTGCCAGTTAACATTACATTCACTCTGTGGTTAAAGTGTTAAAATTTTAACAACTTTCTTAAACTAACCTGGATTTGTACCAAACTTGGACAGAAGCTTGTTTATGATTAAAAGCTAGTATCCAGAAGGAAATTTTGTTCCATTTTTTCCGTATTTTACTTATAAATGGACTTAGTTTTTCTTCCAGTTAACATTACATACAGTCTGCAGTTTAAGTTTTTTAAAACATTTATTAGATTCATAAACTATCCTGGATTTTTACCAAACTTGGACAGAAGCTACTTACAATCAAAAGATAGTATAGAGAGGAATATTTTTATTAATTTTTTTCCTCATTTTTGTTGAGCCTGTGATTAACAGCAAAAAGTAGGCGAGACACTGGGTTCCGCGGAACCCTTACAAATTTTTTTCTAATACTATATACAATAGGTCAACTATAAATGTTGTATGGAAATATTTTATGATGTACATGTCAGTCTCACAGATTTTATTTGACCTTGACCTCATTTTCACGGTTCATTTCTCAGTGTTAAGTTTTTGTGTTTTGGTCAGTTTTTCTTCGACTATAAGCAATAGGTCAACTATATTTAATGTATGGAAGGATTGTACATGTAAGGTGTATATGTCTGTCTGGCAGGTATCATCTGACCTTGACCTCATTTTCATGGTTCATTGGTCAATGTTAAGTTTTCATGGTTAAGTTTGTTTCTTAGATACTATAAGCAATAGTTCAACTATATTTAATGCCTAAATTGATTGTAAGGTGTACATGTCTCTGGCATGGTTCATCTGACCTTAACCTCATTTTCATGGTTCATTGGTCAATGTTAAGTTTTTGTTTAAGACTGTTTCTTAGAAACAATGAGCAATAGGTCAACTATGTTTGGTTTATTGAATGATTGTAAGGTGTACGTGTATTTCTCGTTTGGTTTATCTTGACCTTGACCTCATTTCCTTGGATCATGTTAAGTTTATGTGTTACTTGTAGTAAAGCTTTGTATAATGGACTATCAACATAAAATCAATGCACATGGGTCTGTCCATTAGGACATGACATAAAATGGGACATCATATTTTAGAATGTGACACAGGTTGAAAAAAAATATGATTCAGAAAGAGGATATACCAAAGCATCCAGAAAAATACAACAGAAGATAATTTGACTATTATAAAATTGATTCTGGACGCCTTCTTTTACCAATAAACATGTGTAACACAACATAAAAACTAAAGACTAAGCAACACAAATCCAACCAAAAACCGAGGGTGATCTCAGGTGCTTCGAAAGGGTAAGCAGATACTGCTCCACATGTGGTATCCGTTGTGTTGCTCATGTAAGTAGAAGCCCAGTAATAAGTCTGATTCAGTACATGACATTCATGAAAAAAGGGGTCAGGATTGTGGTAACGACAATTGGAAAATAACCGTCATCATCTGTGAAACAGATA